TTCTCCTCCATCTTCCGGGTTACCACGGCGACAAGTGCCACCCTATCTATATGATTGGTCGGCTGAAAATGAGCAACGGCGAAGCAGTAAAATAAATGGAAAAGATATGGTGATTTGAAACATATTCATGATAAAGAAATGCAATCTGGCAGAAAATCTGTTTCTCTCAACACATAATTGAGAATGCATTTCGGTCGTAGCCGATAGGAAGTTTTGGGAGACAGAGCTGATGTGCTGCACATCCATCAAACTCTCCAACCTCCACAGTTTTACTTCCCACCTCGCCACGTAAGGGGCACGCTGCTCTCTGCAATGGCATTAAACTCGCTGTGGATGTAAATCATGCGGCGTGGATATGTCCAATATAAATATAATGCCTTGGGATAAGACTATTTCTTCAGATGAGGTAGTTCGGATGAAAACTCCACAGCGAGGTCGGCGGCCTGCGGAGAAACCCAAACATACTTTCTGGAGAGACGTGTTCCTGTTGAATTTTTAATAAAACTTTTGAATGCTGCGAGCACTGCAAACAAAATTACATTCACCTCCATTGTATTCAAGTGCAGATACCTGGGCGAATAATAGCAAAAACCATCAGTCTGGCTGCAGAACATCACATGCAAAAACACGTCTTTTTGTGTTTTGGGTGAAGTGACCCTTTAAACAGAAATCCTGTGGCTCTAAAAAGCAACAATCTCCTCTCCTTTCTCTCAGGCTCCTGTTTTTAGTTCAGCTGTAACAAAAGGACCAGATAATCTGTCCTCAGGCGGGCAGCTCTCCCATTCCTCCTTCTCTTTGTAGCTCTAGTCCATTCTTTTGATTCCTTTCAATCCATAATTATAGCAAACACTAACTCTGCCAAGGCATCAGGACACAAGACGGGCGTTTTTGCATTACAAAGCCTGAGTGTAGCATTTTTAAACATCGATAAATCTTTATCATATTATATCATCATATTATATTAGTGTAATTACTGCAGAAAAGGCCGCTGCAAAGGAGACTCTAAGCGCTGCAGTTTATGTTAAGTAGGATTTGACGGGACGTCTGCCGGGGAGCCGACAGACAGACAGAGGGCGCTGTTCCCCCGGTAGCATCGGGGCTTCAAGCTCACGGGGCAGATGGTGGAAGGAGCAAAAGGGCGACAGAAACAACACCTTCAACATGTTTGTCCTGCTTGGTAGAGCAAAACAGAAAAACCTCTGACTGACGAAGCGGAGGGGGGTTTACGGGACAAACGGTTTCAACTTGGAGAAACGCCACCACTGCCAATACCACTGGTTCGAGTCAGACGCTGCCAATCGTCTCCTTGATTTTTCTGTTTATCTCCGAGAAGAAAGCCGGTTAATTTGTCTTCTCGTGACATCCTCTCTGTGTTCTCTGCGCCGTCTCCCTTTCTCTTCCCCCCCTCCTGCTCATTTCTCCCGTTTATCTGCAACAAAAAGCCCGGCAAGCCTGACCTCATGCAAAGCTCTCTCTATCTCTGCTTCTCTGTTCAACCTCATCCCTTCATCCTCTCCTCCGCCCTGCCTTTTATTGCTGGATTCTGTCGTTATCCCAGGCTAGATCCGACCCACGCTATCTCTCGCTCTCTGTTGTGTCGCTCCGCGGGTTTGCAGATATGTTGCAGCTCAACAGACACCAAAGGAAACTTGCACGAATAAACTCCACACACACACACACACAGACACACACACACAAATATAATAAAAGCAAACACAGTTTTCTAGATACATGCATAGTACAGCATAAATTTTACAGGAATCAGGGACGCGAAGGAATGATGGGAGAAAAGGGTACAAACACACTCGCAGCGGGTTTCTGCACTCGCACACACACGCGCCAGCAGCATGTTGTCGCACTTGCGCGCACACACATACTCAGAAAAGGGTTCAGGACTCATAGAGAGACAGCAGGCGAAGTGGCAAGGACGCACACAGCATGATGAGAGACACACACAAAAGCTTATTTATGAGGCATATGTGCAACAATATTGAATATACCAGTGCACAATTGCATTCCACGTACATACAGACGACCATTCTTCCACCTACGCGAGCAAAAACCACATCCTTCCTGCACAGTGTCCTTCCAGCTGCTTTACATGCTCACCTCCACGTGGCCACATCCTCCCTCGACAAGACTTACAGGCCAGAGTACATGAAACTGACACGCAAATTTTCTGACCTCACAATACACATTTGGACCCACACAAACACAAAAAGCAACCACACACACCCTCACCTTCCAGCTCCTGCTCTCCTCTGTACCAGCGCAGCCTGGCGGGGGGTTTGCTGCCGGTGCTGGTGCAGGTCAGGGTGACTTTGTCCCCCTCTGGCACTGCGTTCTCAAAGCCCGAGATCTGAGGTTTGCCGGGCACACCTAGAGAGAGACGGAGAGACACAGAGAGTTAGAGAGTTTTGCCGAGATGCCGAGAGAGAAAACTTTTATGCTGCAGGGCTCACCTTGTAGCCAGAAAATGGATAAAATAAAAAAAATCAAGGCCAATGGCTGAGCTTCTAACAAGTGCTGCATATGTTTGCTAACGTTGCGCTGAATCGAATTCAGGGGGAAAAATAAAGATCAACGGTGGAATGTGAGCCAGCACCTCAATACGACAGAGTAGCTTGAATTTATTTGGTCAACTCTCGCTGGAAACCGGCTGAGAGGGAAAATAATGATGCGGGCTCGCGATGACTTGGTTCTGCAGAGCAACTCACATGACCTTCCAGAAGAACTACAGTCTGTGTTCTAAGTGTTTGTCGTGGCTGCGCTGGAATATTTCTCTGTTTTGCTGACAAGCGACCAATTAAGGCCACGCAGATAATGACTGTTTCAGTCTCAGAAGGCAAGGCGGATGTAACTTAATGTTGTTACAGCGCAGTTAAACCTCTTAGCGAGGAGGCTGGGTTGGATGACCGGGCATCTGCGTTTAACACTGGAGCACTGTTTACACCCTGTTCCCTTCCTCCTTTTACCCAAAACAGTCTCAGCCTGCAGCTTCTCACTGTCAGGATTTATTCACTTTATTTATTTATTTTATCGTACGTGCTGGTAAGCTGAATATCTTTGGCTTTTGAATAGAAGAAGAAGAAAATTCAAATGCAATAAAGTGGCTAATAATCAAGACTTCTCTATTCAGCAACTGGAATCATTCTTATGCAAGGTAGCCCGACGCCATAACTCAACTCAATCAGCTGCCTGCTGTGACTAAATGAATGTAAGTGATAGCAGAAACGCTGAATTTTAAAACAGTATTTAGAATGAAACTGCTCTCTATAGAGCCGGCACTGGACTCAATCCATCAGCGTGAAGTCCTATCCATCCTCGTATGGAGTCGAATGGATGTACATACTAATGCCTTTGCTGCTCAACAAGACGTCTGCTTGTTTCACGCGTATTTATTAGTGCTATCTAAAAATTATCGCAAAAAAAAAAGCCTCGAGTGGCTGCAAAATAGCACGAAATAGAAATAAATAGAAATAGTCTTATCCCAACGTACACGAGACTCTTAATGTCTGTGTTTTTCTTTGTGTCGGGGAAAGGTCAGACTCTGCAGTGCATTTCAGCCTCGTGACAAATTTGAAATGCTGCCACGAGACTTCAAAACACGACTGAAGCTCACAGAGGCTGAATATGGAGACAAAAACATTCCCCAAAGAAAATGATGAAATCCTTCATTAACTTAACATTCCAACAGCACTCGTGGCACACATATTAAGCGCTCCAACATTCGCAGCGAAGCCCCAAACGGCTCGACGGCGGTCTGCTGAGACGACTGTAGAAACGCAATTAATGCAGTGATAATATTAATAATAATGAGTTATACGTCTTAAATCGACAGCGTGGGTTCTGCATTGCCTCTGACAGCCTTGGCATTTCGACAATTCAAGTCAGTCTGCTGAATCGTATTGTGTGACTCTTCATTCTCGGTACTTTGGGTCAGTTCAAAATGTCAAGTAAATTATATTTTGCAGAAATTATTAAATGCGACTCCCAGAATTCATTATGTAAAAGCCGAGAATGGCTCAGTGAGGCTGATTGGTTTTAGACGAGGGGAAATACGGCGACGGTTCAGAGGAATGACTGACAGGGACAGAAGGACGACACGAGCCAAAGGTCAGGTTCAGAAAAACCTCAAGCCAAAGAGAAACACCAGACCTGCCAAACCAAAATTTCATCTTTCCTCTCCCAGAGGTGTTCTTCCAGATTCCGGCAGCAGTCGCTTAAAATAAGACACTTTTTTTTCTCCCCCCCTTGCTTAATTACTATTCTAACTTGAAGCGAAAACAACACAAACAGGAAAAGGAATCTACTACATCCTCTCTGCCAGATATTTCAGCATTCACTTTGTCCTCACCAGGCAAGAAGGAGGGAAAAATTTTTCTAAACTTGCCATACTCCATCTGGAGCCGTTGTGGGCGGCATTTTTTCCTTTCCCGAGTGCTGGCGGAGTTTACTGTCATTCTGCGTTTGAAATAATGAACATTCGCTTTGCCATCTACCGCAAAACTGCCGTCTTGTGCATTAAGGCAGGAAGGAGAGAGAGAGAGAGAGAACGATGAAGAAAGAGGAGAAGCAGGAAGGGTTGGATGAGAGGTTAAAGGTGGATAGATAAGGAACCAAAGCATGAAGGAAAATGATTTTCACCTAAACTGACAAGAAGTCATTTTTATGGTTCTGGTGTTAATGCTGCCGATATTGAAAGATATTCCTGTTATATGGTCGATGCCACTGTAGATGGACAAAAGCAAGCACCAATAAAAAGCACTGTGAACCAACCAAGGTATACATCAAAAAAAAAAAAAATGTGGTCAATTTTTAATGTAGCACTATTTGATGTAGTGCGCCGTGTGCGGAAGCTCTCTGGCAGCAAAGTAGCATTGAATATTAATGAGGGAATAATACTGCACATATAGAATTGGCGGGAGAAGCCCTGTCGAGACCCTTTTCTCTACAAGAAGAATAAAGGAGAATGAAGCCATTATAAATTATTCTCTGCTTAGCTCAGGACGGAGCCGCCGAGGCAGCGCACTTGCCACACATCTTTACGCTCAGCCGTTTAAAAACTGACCACACTCAGCAGTTGTGCGATCGTGTGTGCAGCTGTCAAAACGTGCACATGTCAAAACAAGGGTAAAACACACACACACACACACATAAACACTGCCAAAACTCGATATCTTTGCCAGATTTCCCCATAGGAGTCAGTGCGTTTTAGACATTTTACCATACATTTTTAATGCGCTGGCTCCCTCTCAGGGGTCATGAAATATGTATTGAACGCAGAATACAGTGTCACAGCCGTCAATTACAGCGCATAAAAAATGCTTGAATCACAATTACTGCAAAATTGGAAGAAATATGCGACGCTCATGTTGATGTCAATTTGAACCTCTGACGTAGACCCGGTTTCACCTTTGACGTACAGTATTTTAACATGCACTGCTTGTGCTGTTGTCCACAACGTCTCATTCGTCTCAATGTGTTTTCCAGCGCCGCCCCAAAAAAATATCAACAAAATGATGCCGTTGATTGAATAATCCCAAATTCAGGGAGCGACCCTTTTGGCCTTACGGCTACAGAACAGCCGTGTAAACATAAGCCACACCGCCCCACCCCAAATATCTCAATTTTAGCATCTCTTCTTCCCACTAAATGCATTTTCCAAGACAATTAGGCAGAAACCCTCTGCAGCTTGGGTTTCCATCCAAGAATTTGTTGGCAAATTATGATGTATTGAATTAGAAAAGCTTGGGGAGGAAATGGCAAATGCTGTTAAAGCCTCCTCAGTATCATGACTTACAGTAACGCCCCCCCTTTTTGTTTTGTCCATATAAGAAGACAATGCAATAACAAGTGATGAAAGCTTGTTTTTTGGGGGCTTTTTTAATAATGTTTAATGCAGATTTCTGCTGACTGGCACAAACAATGACTCAGTTTCATTACACACCAGTTAAAAAGTGGAATTGGATGCCCTAAAGTGTTGGCCACATAATTTGCCCACCATAGCCTCTGAGGAATATCAGACCAGCTGTCTTTTCCATGTATACAGTAGGTCTCCATTGTGGTTGCATGGCCATTAGTTGATGTATTACAGTATTGCCAAGCACATCTCTTTGTTCTCGTCTTCAAGTAAAACCGTGTAATACAGCCAGAATAAGCTGACGCTGAGCAACAATAACAACTCGACTAATAAAAATCTATACCCGAATGACTGTTTGTGGGGGGACCAAAGCCGATTAGCCCAATATCCAATCAATAAACAGGCCTACTCTCCTCTGATAGGGTGACCGCAATTTATTGCAGGGTGCAGGGAAGCATCACACGTAGGTAATAAGAGCCAACTCAGGGAAGATGAGTGGAGCTGGTTTATCTCAACGCAAGAATTATATGAGGTCATAACCTGACACAAAGGTTAACAGTGTAAGCAAGGATCTGGATCAAAGCGGATGAAGGCATTAAAGGGAAGCTTACAGGGTTCTGTCATCCTGGTCCACCGCGCTGTTAAAAGGGATAGTTTTGTGTAATATTTTGAAGGCTTTTTAATTCCTCTGGGGTGCTGTCGATTGGCTGAATAACATCTTTACTGTGGAGGGAAACTACAGTTTTACAAATAAGGTTGAGAATTTACATCAAGTACAGAATCTAATGAAACATCCAATTTGCGCATTCTCATACATATGACCTCGTAAGTACCGTCTAGAGGTCTCAGCAAGCACATTATCATCAATTCTGACAACTGACAAACATAAAGTAACCCTGATTTTGTCGACAGCCTCTCGTGATTGTGCGAATATGTGGATGTAAAAGCTCTGGTAGAGCTGCCTCCCTGAAAACATACAAAACAAAGCTTTAAAACGTGTTGTAAACAGAGCCACAGCATGCATTTGAATCCAAACCAAGACCCTTTTTTATCCATAACTGAGTAGTTTTGTAAAACTAACCAATTACCGTGTGAAGTCTGCCGATTTGCAGCTCCACCAGCACCTCCAAGCTCTAAATATGGACTTCTGTTCATCTTTTTAAGTGCAAAAAATTCAGCTCCATCTCCAATAAATCCTCAAACACATTGACAGCATGCGCTTGACCCAAACCATGAAACGGTGGCTCCATATTCATTAAAGGAGGTGATATTGGAGGTCCATTTAATGGGTGATAACACGCCTGCTGAGCCTCCTAGATGGTGGAGGATTTCCCTACTGGCACATATGTGCGGGAAAGATCTGCAAGGAAAACGGTCCTATAATGTGTTGATATTGGTGCCTTAACCCAACCAATTACTGAGCAAACACAGAGGGAAGAAGGCAATACAAGCAAAGCAAAAACAAGACTTTAGTGAAAAAATGAAACTATAATTATGGTCTATGACGGAACTTAAACTAAAGTCTCCTGGTGCACTGAAAGGCAGACGACCTCCAGCTCCACCAGCACCTCCAACGTCCAAATGTTGACTTTTATTCCTCTTTGCAGATGCAAAACTGTGGCTCCACATTCATTAAAGGGGGTGATATTGGAGCTCCACTAAATGGGATGATAACATGCCTGCTGAGCCTCCTAAGACGTGGAGGATTTCCCTGCCGGTCCAAATGTGTGAGGAAGATCTATGATTATAACAGCCATTTAATAAGCTGATAACATCTGCATGTGGTGCTACGTTAGATTCTGTACTGCTTGATGCACAATCTGATCTTTATGTGTAAAACTGGAAGTTTTCCTCCAAAGTGAAGAAGCTATTCTGCCAATCTGCTGTAAATGTAGTGACAGTTTGTATTTGAAACCATGGTCTTTTTCTGAACCTCACCAAGTAGTTTTGGTGCCCAGAGTTCACCAATCACAGAGTGAAAAACAGCAAGTGAAGGCAAAAGTCAGAATGAGACTTAGGTTAAAAAATTTAACCGTAATTATGGTCCGTGACTTGAACTCCAGTCTGCCGGCGAAATGAAAGATTGCTGACTTACAGCTTCATCAGCTCTTCCAGCCTCCAAATGTGGGCTTTTGTTCCTTTTTTGTACGTGCAAAATCGCAGCTCCACAACTAATTAAATGTCATAATAATGCAAATACTGAGTCCATTAGAAGGTGGAGGAGGTCCCGACTGGCCCAGACTTATGGAAATGATCCGCGATGATAAAGGCCAGTTAGCGGGCTGATGACATGCAAAACAGGGGACTGGAAACGTGCAGCTCAATTGCATTCTGGGTAATGACGGGTTTCAGTGCTTTTGCAGCTTCATCCAAAGTGGACTACAAGTCACCCTCTCTCAGTCTTTAAAGATTTACTGAGTCTCTGTTTGCAGACATTCTTCTTAAATATGTCTTTCACAAGTCCCCTAACTTTCCGGAGTCTCAGCACTAAATTGCTGCAGCACCGATACTTTGCTTCACGCCGGCAAGCAACTTTTCCCTCGCAAGTCACACATCCAATGGACATCCACAGGGTCAAACTTCATTTAGCTCCGAGAGAGGGTAAACTCTGCGGGGTAGGTCAGGCTAACACAGTACCACAGCGGTGTATCAAGGTGAACTCAAGACACTTTTCCATAGTTAGACAAGTTAACTTATTCTATAATCCGACGCACCGACACGTTGCGCGTGCCGTCTGAACGTGGCTGGTGGAGAAAAAGTAATCATCTTTGTGAAAACCCGTATAAACAACATGACAACTGAGGAGGGAAAATAAGAAACGGTGTCAGAGAGCTTCAAATCATCCGTTTAAATCTGTCACAATACTACAAGTTTAAGAGAGAAATTAAGATAGACTGCAGTCAAGCTGATTTGCACAGATGTCAATCAGTCTCAAAGGATGAGCGCGCACGCGAGGAAGGCGAGAATGTCATCCTGCACTATTAGCAGCGAGACCTCCACGAGAACAAAGAAATATTTTCAGAAAAGCCTACGTGAAGCAGAAAAATAAAAAAGAGAGACCTTAGGATAGGCCTCACAGAGGAATCCTCTGCCAAGGACAGACGGGAGACAGAAAGGTTACACTTACACTGAAGGGAGTCGACTGAAATTGAAAAATGAGCAAAAAAAAAAAAAGGGTTTCTTTTCTATATTTGCCTTTTTATCAACATATCCTCTTTTACTTAAAATCTACTTAATCCACATTGACACACATAACTGATTTTTTTTCTGCATGAGTTAATACAAAAATATGCTTGACGGCTGGATACACGCCAGGGTTGTATTTTAAGGTCTGGGAAAGTTGCAACCTCTGTTCCTGGAAACAGCGAGATGACAGATTTTCCTCCCGGCGTGCACAGTGTGCGGCTGCATATGTATGGCGTGTGCGTGCGTTCCCGTGACCCACCTAGCACGGTGACGGTGGCTCGGGCGGTGCGGACCGGCATGGTGAAGATGGAGCAGGTGTACTCGCCCTCGTCGGACAGCTGCACGTCGGCGATGGTGATGGAGAGCTCGGTCGATGTCGAGCGGTGCAGCTGGATGCGGTTATCTCTCAGCGCTGGAAGGAGGAAGAGGAACAAGATATCAGTAATTAGAAATGTGCTTTATGAATTGTTTGAGAAGATTTAAGTTGTATTCCTCTGAACTGCTGGATGGTTTCAGTTCCTGTCATATTTTTACTGGCTGCGGGTTCTTTTTTTTACTGCAATGTAAAGCTCTGCACCTCTATGGAAACAGCACAACTATAGCTAGAAGTAGAGAGAGCTCAAAAATGTCTTCTGTGCAGGAAAACGGTGGCTCTGTGTAATATAGCTACTTCCCAACATACATTTTTAATTTGTGTCTATACATGTCTTGTGTTTGCTTTTTGCAGGATCTGGTTAATGGTTTATTTTGGGCACATTTTAAATGAAGAATAAGGTTTAAATTCTGATAAAACATCACAATTTTAAACCTAAAATTGTCCAACTTAAAGATTTAGATTATTTTTTTAAAGGGACTACATGATTGTCCAAGAGCTGCTGGAAAGAGAGGGGAAAAGGTGACTACATTCTATGTATGTTTAACTACTTTAAATAGTTTTCAGGCTTGCCTTCTATCTGTTATGTGTAAACACTGCCTGCAGTTCAGTCTAAAAGTCACATAATTTTTGTGACATGACTTCTGCTTACAGCTCAGCCACTCCTGGCTTTTCAGTTTCACCAAGAAGTGCAGAATTTTTTGCTTTTTGCAGAATCTTGTTAGATTAAACAGACATGTGGAATAAAGCAATTTTGATGAACTATTAGAATTTTAAGGGTTAGATATGGTAACGTTGCCCAACCGAACCAAACGCTGGTTTAAAAAAAAAAAAAAGGTAAGAGGACTGCTGACAAGTTTAAAATCCTATTATTCCCTCTGCTTTTAGAGCTTCTTGCTTTTAGAAATTGTGTAATTTTTGGCATTTTCTTTTAAAGAGACAACATGCCTGTCAAGCTTGCGGGCAGGTTTTGGGGTTCAGAAGATTAAAAAAAATATTATTTATTTATTCCCTGCAATTATTTGTTCTTTTGTGCTTTAAAACTTTGGGGAGTAATTTGGGATTTTTAAAAAAAATATTTACAATCAGTAACCAACAGTTCTTTCATATTTGCCGTGCACGGGTTTCTTGTTAGAGTCAAGATGAAGAGGAAGGAAGGAAGGAAGGAAGGAAGGAAGGAAGGAAGGAAGGAANAGAAAAGGCGAAAGGGAAGAGAATACGGGAACGTAAGGAGATGTAGAAGATGTGAGGATAAAGACAAAAACAGAAAGCGATATTGAGATGAGGATGGACTAAAAAAAAACAAGTGACGATGGGAAGATGAGAAACAGAAGGGTGAGAAGTAGAGAACATGGCCTCAAGAAGGAAGCATTGAAAATAGGAGAAAATGTGAGACGGAGAGAGGGAAAAGGTTAGAAAGTAAAAAGCCAAAATAAGAGTGGTAGTTCAGGAGAGAGCAGAGAAATGCCGATAGAAGATGACTAAATAAAACTAGAAGGTAGGGAGTGGGGAGGATGAAGGGAGAAAAAGGTGAGAAATGGATGCAAGGGGAAGTGGGAGGGAAGAATAGGGGAAGGCACGAGGTGAAGAAAGTAGTGAAAGGAGCTATGAAAAGAGAAGAAGTGGTGGAGATGCAGTGAGAAAAATAAGGGAGGTGGGAAGAGAGACATAAAGTATGTTAAGGAGGGGTAGGGCAGAGCGAGAGAGGAAAGTAAGAAAGATGATGCGCAGAATTTAAATCATGGGAAAAAGAGAATGGCAAATTGGAAAAAAGGAGGATAGAGGGGAGAGGTGTTTAGAGAAAGAATGATGTAAGAGGAGGAGGAGGAGGAGGAGTGATGAAGACGAGGTGCGAGAAGAGGGAAAAAATAGCAGAGATGTAACGAAGCAAAAGGAAGACAAAGAGCAAAGCGGGAGGAGAGGAGACGCAAATTGAGAATGAGAGATGAGAGAAAGTGCAGGAGAGAAGAAAACAGAGAAAAATAAAACAGAGGAAGCATAAATAGCGAGGAGAATAAGGGAGAGACCGTGGGGGAGGAAGGAGAGGACGAGGGAGGGAGGGGGGGAGAACATAAGAGAGACATAAATGGCTTTGTCATCAATGAGAAATCCAGCCATGAAAGAGGGAGAGAGCGCAAGCGACCAAGATAGATGATGATGATGAAATGCTACGAAATAACCACTCGTTTCCGTGATAGCATTGACCTCTGCAGTGTTTGTGCTGTGTGATTGCTGCCTGTCTGCCTGCCTCCGTATCCGCCTGTCTATCTAGATGTCTATCTGTCTGTCTCTCCGTCTCAATAAAGGCTTTTTTAAGCTTTGTTCTCCGGCGCCATCGTGCAGAGTTTGGCTCAAATAATGACTGAATGTATAACAGCCAGACTGCAAGAAAGCAGACGGCTGCAAAAAAAAGAAAAAAACCCACTGCAGCCAAGTACAGTAAATAGATTTGTTAACACGTTTAAAGTTGTTTTAAGTCACTGCAGCATTTACGTTTGAGGTAATCTGAAAAGTAGAACTATATATTTAAGGCATTTTTCAGCACTAAAACGAGACAGGGAGGCTTCTGAGGGATACAATGACAACTGACGTGACGTATGTATGAGCAATCGGAGCATCAACAGATAAATCAGATAACAGATGAAAAGTAAAGAAAAAAATGAAGTTAAACAAAATACAATTGCCTAACCTCCCAAAAAAAGCATGTTTTTTTACTTTGTTAAATTATCCAT